GGACAACGCTCGCAAGAGAAACTAATTTCTTGCCGTTTTCTCCTGTTTTGTGTTTTCGTGTTTAGCTCGCGGCTGTTAAGTTTTTCCCATTGTTGCTCTTGTTGCTGCTGCTGCTGCTGTTGTTGTTGTTGCAGTTGCTGCTGCTGTTTAGCTCCCTTTTTTTCCTGCAGTTTTGCGATAGCACGCATTTCGCTGTTCGCTGCGAGTTGTTCAGATACCCTGGACAACTGTGGGAGAGGGGTAGATTGAAATCGAAGTAAATGTATTTTTTATCATGCCCAAATCTCATTTTCCAACATTACAAGAGACTGATTTGATTGATTTATTTTTAAAATAAACTAAAAAAGTCATTCAGAATATATATTAAGTATTTAATTTCCCAGTTTCTCTATGCAGAAATCACTTTAGTTAGGGAATCACAATAGACTATAGTTTTACATTTCCCACCTTAACTTCTCACACACATTCACAACTATTTCAAGATCATCGCCAAGTCGATCATACCCCACTGTAAGCGGCTCGCTTGCTGTTGCCAGCTTGTTAGCATGCCATAGCTGAAATGGCATTTCCTGTTGTTGTGGCTCGACTTTGGCTTCTGCCCAGCCAAAGTCCGCCGGCTAAGATATTTAAATTATTATTCGGCGTAGACAGAATGAATTTGATTGGGGGAAAAACTAAGTGAATGCAGCCCGAGGGACTTCACGTGTCTGCCCCATGCGGCCTTTGTGCGTTTCACCTGACAGGGGTCGCTTGAATCGCGCTAGCAGGAGGCGAATGCCACCTGGTTTGCATTTGAGTGAGCGAGATGGCGGACTGAGGAAAAGAGACAGACAGAGGGGAGATATAACAATTCGTTGCATTCAATTTTCGAGAGAATTTCTTTTCTTAATTAGTTGCAGTCTGTTTAATTTATGGCATCTGCTGCCTGCCCCGAAACCAAAGTTCACCGAGGCATGCAGCATGGCCCTGACTGTGAATCTGTTATGAATGTTCAATATAATTCACATTCAATTGCCATGGGTTGGAGGCGCCACATGTCGTTCGCGTTGTTGCTGCATCCACGCAGGCATAAAACTGATGGACAGCCAGCGGGCAAGCACACGACTGCGGCATGCAAACCCCTTGTCAGCGTACGCAACCGTAAACAAAACATTCATCAACATTTTATACACTCAACATGTGCCCGAATCACAGTCTCCCGATCTCACTCCCACTCTCCCTCTCTCCATCTCTTTCACTTTCGCTTGCTCCATTTATTTGTTTGTATATGCGACCGGCTACTCCCCCGCTCGTCTTTCTTTCAATTTGAATGTTCTTTGAAAAATCACAACTAATTAACTTTGCCTATGGCTCCGAACGGGAAAATTATGACGAATCAGTTTCGGTTTAGCTGGGAAAACTGCATGTGTCGCTGGTCGATCTGTTTGCTGTGTTTGCGGTTGGGCGTACCAGATGCGTTGCATTGTCGACTATAAATAGAGAACAGATTTTCCCGAAACAGTTTCCGGTTCTTGCTAATGTTCTAGTTTATGGTTAAAAAGAGCGACGACTCAGCTAAATGAGGCACAGCCGTGAACGAGATGTGTGTGTGTGGGTGTTTGTGTCAAAGGTCAAAGACAGCAAAGTAGCTCAAAGAAATTTCAATGTCACTTTCAAGCATAATTCATGTACATAAACATCTAGACAGTAAAAATGTTATTTATGATAAATTTACATATTTATTTTACTTTAAATCATCTTTGATATTTTCTTTTTCTATTTACTTGAATCTTCTCAGCGCTCAAACCCTACTCACTGAAATTGTCAAAGATATTTCTTATTTATTTTCGAAAATATTTTGGCCGTTCAATAAATCATTGTCAGATAAAACTTAAAAAATTACAAAACAAATGTGACACTTGTCAAACAATGAAACAGAGCTTAAAGAAAATACATGGAAAATTCATATACTTTAAGCTCTTTACTTTGGCAAGGCTCAGCAAACACTAAGTAAATGTAAAGTAGTTCTCATTTCAATAAATAAAATAAGTAAATAATATATATATAAATATAAATGCTTATTCCATTCCATTTTCATTAAATATCTTATTAAATTCTTATAAAAATGCTCCTTTATTTATAATGTTTGTTCACTTCAACTATAACTAAAACTATTTGGGAAATTATTTCCCACGGACTATACAATACTTTGCTATCATATTTAACTCAGTTTTACAATACGCAAACATCACTTCACAGTTGTTTTCCACTAAATACAAGAATTCTTTTCAACTGAAGACAACATATTTAACTAGAACGAATTCCTCATTTTAGAATTCTCCAATTCCTTTGTTGCCTGTCAAATTCTTACAGCACGGCAGATTATGTTGGGCAAGACAATGGGCCAAACTATTGGCCCGACTCAAAAGATTTTTTAGTGGCGTCCTAATTGAAATATATATGTATGTATATGCAGGTATTTAATTGCCAGCTGCTGGAGCTAGAGAAGTTGGCGAAGTTCGTCGTAATTGCAACAACTCTGAAATGCCAAAGTTCATAAAAACTGAGTAATTTTTGCATTTGCCGTCTGTTGCGGCTGTTGATTGTTTCCCGGCAGCCGCAGCCATTGTTCGGAGCGTCTGTGTCCAACTTCGCCTCGGAATGTCGATGAGCGGGTAAATTCTTAAGAAACTTTGCCATCATCAACAGTGACAGGATCTGCGCCAGCCAGCCCTTGGCTGACTCGCAGGGCAGGTGAGGTGTCTGCTCGCTGCATACACAATGAAAGTATTTATTAAAACAAACTTCGTTCTCTGTCTCCATCTCTCGCTCTCCCTCTCTATCTGCACTATCTATCGGTCTCTCTTTCGTTCTTTGGTTTTTAAAACGCTCTGCACTATGGGCACATGCAATGCTTGTACAGCACAAAGAAATGTTATGTTAACCTAACAGCTGTTAAGCCTAACAGTTCAACGGTTGAATATGCGAGCCATTCAAGTACGTTAAACCTTATCCATTGGCCTAGTTCGAAATGAACTTTAGCATTGTTCATAGTTAGTGACTTTTCAGCTAGCGATTCGCCCCACTGTCCACTGTGATAGGGCAAAGTTTGGCGCAGTTTGAAGCGATTGTGCTGCAGTGGAGCGACTGAGGCCGTCGCCCAGGCGCATAAATGTCACTTAGACGCTCCTTGACGCTGGCCATGCGGCACAGACGCAAGCGCCCGGCAGCTATTGTGCTCGCAATTGCCACATCGCCGCACCCGCTGAGCAAATTGCGAAAGTGACAATTTCGACAGCCTCACAGTTGCTCGCAAATGCATCGTCGTCGGCATCGACGCCCTGCCAAAGTGTAAGTGCAAATTCAGTTTGGTTTAATTTCGACAGTCTGTGTGGTCTATGGCCGGAGACGCTGCCACTGACCAAACGCTGTCAAGTGAGAGTTCTAGCGTGCTGGCGTCCTTGCATCGCCGTCGACCTGCAACTGACGTCGGCTGCGGCGTCAGCTGCGATCTTTATTAAGTTTTCGCTTACTTTTCGCCGAGTGCGACAAAAAGTTTTGCCAGCCAAGTTTTGCCTTCAAACAATTTTCCCTTGTTTTTCTACATTTCGGCTTTTGTTTTCTGGTAAAGATTTCACTTGCTGTTTTCCCAACACTCTTTCTAACCAGTCACACCAGACAGACGAGCAGATGGACAGACGGACGGAACCTCGAGGAACTTTCATTTTGCTAAGAGTCCTTACCGAATTTCTTCTGTGTAGACCGCCCACCCCCCCGCCATAAAAATATCTGTGCCACTGCACACTGAGCTGAAACCAACTTGTTCAGAGTTTGCCGAAGTTTGCAAATATTATTGTAATTAGCCAATCGAGTACAGTGAACACTCACAATAAGGTTTCAGCTGCTGAGCTTGATTGGAGTTTATAGAATTTTTCTTAAGCATTGCATTTTTCATATATTTTGCTCCACTGTAGCACATTTGTATATTTAAGTTGTTGTTGTTGTTGTGAATGCCGGTAACTGGGTTTATTTGTTCTCTGCAGCAAATATGCTCGATTGCATTTGAGTTATTGTTTGTGGCGCAGTTGACAGGCTCCTTCCAGGACAAAGTCCGGATGCTGGACGTTCACTGGCGCCTTCATACTCCCGCCCCTTTACTGCTCTGACTCTCTCCCTCTCTCTCTCTCTCCCTCTCTCTCTTCCTCTGGCAGACACACTCTGGTCTCTGGTGGCATCGCACGTTGCTTTGGTTCTCCCTTTGGCTGCCCGTGCATATTCAATATTTTGGTATTTATCTTGTCAGACAATAAAATAAAGCAAAGTACGCACATTGTAGATAGCTATTGGACATGGAGACCAGCATGCATGCACACATCTACCCACACATACACACACATACGCACAGCCATACAGAGATTGGAGCTGATGCAGTCTCGAAATAGGTCAGTAGTGTCAAAGTTCTTGTCGCTGTTAGGTTCTCCGCATGCCAATGCCGGGCCACAGGAATTTACATTTTCGAATTTTCCTTAAGCGTACATAAGCTGCCAAGCAGTGACTACACTCAAAGAAAAAGCTGTTCTTTAAGTTTAACCGTTATAATAAAACGAAAGTCTTTTAAGGAATAGAATTAAGGTTTTTCTGCTGATTAAGTTTGATTGAGGGTATACGTATATGAAATTATATTGTGAGAGAAGAGATTTCGCAGATCTAGCTCTGCTCTACAAACAACACTAGGTAGAAGTCCATAAAAGATATGACAATCGAGTATATAGAAGTATATTCTCATGAATAGAGAAACTTGGAAGATATTGCTAGCTTTAAAGATTACACTGACAGAAAGAAACAACTTTTAATGTCTTGAGATGTATGAAGGAAGCTTCTAAGCAGTCTGAAATTATGTTTATCTAATAGGAAAATATAAAAACATTTTTTATTTTTAGATATTAGTAGGCCTTACCTAAATTTTTTATTAAATTTTTAACCGATGATATTTTCTATATTTTGTATAATATTTATAATAATAAGAGATATATTTTATATATAAGACAACATGATACTGGAGGAATGTCGAGAGCTTGTGGACCGTCAAATGCCAAAGTTGGTCAAGCTATTGCTGGAATCGGAGGTGGAGGATGATACCTATACGAATTGCTTAAACTCTGCGCTCTACTGCTTGGAGAGCTACGCCAAGCCCTTAAATACTGCGGAGAGTATCTCCCAAAATTTAGGCGACTTCTTGGATCGATATGTGTGCGAACGTCTGGAAATTATGGCGCAAACTATTAAAAAGCTCTGCAATGTGATACTCGACGATATCATTATAACGGATGGCTTTAAGTTGGCGCTGCTGGATTTTATGCTATCTGTTAACTTTAAAGCCTTTCGCTCCGCTCGCATTCACTACGACGACTATATGGCTCGAGGAAGGAATGTACTCAAAGCTCTGGCTGCGGCACAGAGCACCACCGCTTTATATGGCAGAAGGGAAAACAAATTGGATTCATATAGGGAAACGTTGAGTTCGAAAAACAAGTCAACGTCAACATCTGAGGAGGAAGTTCTGAGCGAGTCCACAGCCAGTTTACATACGATACGCTCGCAGGATATTTCCGATAATATAGAAACACTGGCCATAGGCTCTAGCTCGGACGAGCTCTATCCAAATCAGGAGGAGGAAGCGATTGATATGCCTCCTAAGTTGAATCGTTGCAGTCGCCGCTTCATTGTTGCGTTTGGCAGCTATTTGCGTAGCAAGTTCAACAATGCGCCGCAGTGCTTGATGGAGTACGGCGAGGAGGGTTTCGTCTTACGTGAGATACTCTGCATGTTCTTTCTGCCAGGCGATTGTCACTTCTTTCACATGGTCAATCATATGATAGACCTGCGTCCCGACGTCATCAGCAATAAGGAGACTAGGCTATATATAGTGGAGAAGTTTCTGCGGCCCTTGCATCACATGCAAATGATGCAGCTGTATATTAACTGTAGTGAAACATCCAAAGATAATACCGAACGAACGGAGACGTTGGTCTGCCTATCGGCGGCATTCCGGCGCTTGCTCAAGCCAATTGTGGAGGTGCTCACATATTTTGAGCGCAGTCTGTCCAATGATTTTGAGTTGTTGAGCCTGCGTGACTTGCGTCGCGCCACAAAGACAAGATTCGAGACTCTTGAGCGCTTGTGGAGCCTGGCGGCCGCCACATACATGTCCTATCCGGCTGAATTCGGCAACGAGCCGCACTCACGCAGTCAGCACATCATTTGCAGTCTGGTCGAGCTGACGCTGCAGACACTCACCGCAAGGGACCCAGAGAAACGCGCCTATGCGGCTGCCTTGCTCTTGAATGAGCTGCAGGTGATATGCCGTTTCCTTGACTCTTGGTGGCAGACGGGCGAGTTCAATGACTGGTACGAAGAATTCGCTTTTAAGAAATCGGAGAGAAATTGTAGAACAGAGTATACGATGCGCCCGCTCGACTATGGGCAGCCGTATATGAAAATCTGTAGGATCCATAGGATTATAAGGCGACATATCGAGTCGGCTGGACCAGCACTCGCCGCTTTATACGATTCGCGGCGATTGGCAGACTTTGTCAACGAGCATCAAGAGTTGCTGACGAGAAAACTGCATCAAGCAGTGGTGCATTCTATGTACGAGGAGCTCAGATTCTATCAAGTGCATGCGCAGATGCCTGTCCAAGCAGGCCGTGATATATTTTGGCAGCTCAGAACAACCAACGATCAGCAGTTGCGCAGCCTTTACTATGCCTATTACGTGGAGACAATGTCAGACTTAAAGCAGGCCGAATTCTGCAACATCGATGAGCTGCTGAGGCGCTGCCAAAACTGTGTGATCTATACGCCGCTCGCAGAGCTCATCTTCCAGACATTCGAGCGTCATTTGGAGCAGCGTGCTCTGCTCGTAAACCGATATGTGAATTGTCTTATCCAGAATCGACTTCACTTGGCCAAAGTGTTTGAGAAATTGCGTGCGGTCTATTTGCTTTTCAATTTCAACGAGTTTGATAAAGAGTATTCACTAGCATATGGTTATCTGGAAAATGGATTGATTGTCAAAGGTGCTGAGCAGCTGCAGGTCATTATGAATAGGTATAATTCCATGGCAATGCTCCGAAATGATCCATTCTATGTGGCGCTGCCCATTACCAATATCGAGCAGCTTTCACTGGCCTACAGCTGCAATAAAATGTTGAACGGCATAATTACAGAGCAGCAGATCAAAAGCTACAACGAGGCATTTCGCATGCGTTTGCCGCTGTATGTGACGGTGTATCGCGTGAAGCAGCTGCCACCGCTCAACAGTGATAATGCGGTGGCCGAGTCTCTGTCTGAACTGCAGGACACAGTGGTGCAAGCTCTGGAGAAGCACTTCCAAATTGAGGCCCTGCAACGGGCTGTGGATCAACTAGATGAGATTTTGCCACGCAGCGAGAAACTGTCGCATCTGCAGATAGCGCATCAGGAGTTCGTAAGCCTGATGGTATCTAGCCTAAAGCTAGGCGTCTATCGCTCGCAGCACGAGCAGCAAGAGCTGCTGACAATGGCACGCATCGTCATCTGCCTGTGGCGACGCGTTGAATACATACTCCTCTACAACATCACAGAGGAGGACACGGGCTGTGATTTTGCTGATAAATATGATGATCATAATATGGCCTATTTCTTGTCTGTAATGACTGCTACGAAGGCCATGCGCTCCCTGCATCCGTTAAAGGATATTGTCAAATAGATACTGATACAAAAAAAAAATCAGCTTAAATCTCTTCAACTGCATCAGCAAATCCGCAAATAAGTTTTTATCAATTTTCGGTGTGCGTCGCGCTTTTGTGACAAAAACCGCAAATTAAATCGTTTTGGGCTGCCTCCACGCAATTTATTTGTAGCGTGTAGCCAAAGCCGCAAGCGCCACGCCCACTCGCTTAAATGAAAAAAACAAAACTCGTAGAAATTAGAGCTGGCAGCTGGGCAAGCTCGACTATACCAAATCACATGCAGCAACCAAAATGATTCAACGGATTCTGCGGCCGCAGCGGTCGCTGCTACACACACACACACACTCACACACACACTCCAATAAATAAAATATATGTATGTATTTAAATTGCCAGCGCCTTGTTGGTCAATAAATAAAAAATAAATATATATATGTGCATGCAAATAATTTCATTGAATGGCACCAAGTGTCATAAATTATTAGCTCAAAAGGCTGGATCTGGCTCATTTTTGGTTTTTGAATCGCTAATTACAGTTGAAGTGAAAATATTTTATTTGTAATGAATTTGGAAGGCGTATACGATAAATAAGAGGGTAGTTTAAGCAAAAGATACCAATATACAAAATATAATATAAAAATAGTAAATTTATTAATAAAAAAATTAAATAAAAAACATTATTTTTTTATTATTAGATATTTAAAAAATCTTAACAAAAACAAAATTATAAAAATAAAAAAAAAATCATTAAAATAATATTTTACATTATGTTTACTTAGTAAAAATTTTCTAAAAATTTAATATTTAATTCAACTTAATAGATCTCTTCTACCAAATATTTTATTTTATAGCTGAATTTCGTTAGCTCTTCAATCCACCCTCGCGTATATATGTATATCAGCTTGTCTGTGATTCGTTTGCCTGTTTTTTACGATTTGAACGCCTCAGAGATCGCCTGCTTTATGCGTCTGTCTGGCAAATAGAAAGCAGCTCGTAAAATTTGTTGGGTATACGCGTGGCTGTGTGGCTGTGTGGGTGTGCGGCCGTGTGGGTGGGTAAGGGGAGTTGGACAGGTTTATGTGTCGGAACTAGACGTCGTTTAATGCGTATATGCATTTTTCTCATTAACTTGGCCGCCATCTAACAAATAGATAAGCGCCCCGTAGCGCTCGTTAAATAACAGGAATAAAGCTTCGCATTTCAAGTGCCAACAAAATGTTGGGCTTTAAACTACAGTGAAACTGAGAGCTAAACTGAGATTGCAGACAAATTTTTATGCTGTTCTATGAAGTAAAAGTAAATTTCTTGAAGACGCTTCCGCATGATTCATTCATGAATGCAAAACGGAGTCTAAACGCTAAAGGAGTATAAAAATACTTGAAGAAAAATACTTTTTGTACATACTGTAAAGGCGGCGTAGTGAAAGTGTAAGAAATAATTCTATATTCCTTGTCAGCGTCCATTAACTTTATTATTTTAGGGCGAAAATAAGTAATACATTTACACGAAGCTTTATCTCAGATCATTTTAAGTAGAAAAAAAAACCTAAAATAAATAATAAATATAAATAATAAAATACATATTTATGTTTTCAACAAAAAATTTATACATTTCATTTGAATGTGAAAATGAAAATTCTACATGCCATTTAATATATTTTAAATTCTATCTGAGCGTATTTTTCAATACCTTCTCTTGTGCATAAGCTCTACAATTATTCAAAAAATAAACAAAAGCCGGCGTTCACATCTATTAGCAGGATTTATAATGCCCTTTTAATGTTCAGCCATAAACAAATTGTTTGAACGAATCTTTTTTCATTTGATGTCTGACCAGAAAACAATTTTTCCTTTCTCTTGCCATTCTTTTTTTTTTCACCCAATTTTCAACTTATTTGTATTATGTATTTGATAGTTGGAAAAAAGAAGAGGTAGTTTCGAGTCCGTGTAATGCGTGAAAATATTTTCATTTACTTTGTGCCCACATTTCGACCACTGCAACCGCATTCGCAAACATTTTAAATACCTTTTTGCATTTTTGCTATTAGTTTTCATTTGATTGTTAGCAATGGTTTTATTATATTTTTATTTTTATTTGCGTTTGATTTTTTATTTTGCAACATTTTTGGCATTGTTGTGTGTTAAACTTGGTAGAGATTTCGTTTGTCTAGATTTATTTGATTTCATTTGCACACTAAAAGAACTTTTTCAATTTCAGAGAGCTGAGCGCTTCCATATCCAGCTCTATATTCAAATTTCAATTTGGTTTTCACTGCTTTTTTATTTTTTTATTTTTACCTTTTTGTGCTATGAGTTGGTTTTGTATTGTCTGCTGTCGGATATGCGTTCTGTTTGGTGGCATTTTATTAAATAATAAAAATTCTAATTACATTTTTTATTGGAAATACGAAAAATCATGCGGTTCATTGAGCGCTAGGAAAGAATTTTCCCAGCTATCATTTCCTGTACGCTGATTTAATGATTTTTCTCACAGCCAGCTGTTAAGTAAATAGTAAATAGTAAATATTTACTCTTAACATCTGCCCTGTCGCCTTCGACGCGTGGCTCGTGCTGCATTTCAATAAAACAATCAACTGTCAAAAAATATAAACATCGGACAGCACGGCCGGAATCGGATGAAGCTTGGCTTCGACTGCCGCAGGCCGGGCCCCAACGACCACCAAAGTTGATTTGCATGTCATTAACAGGCAGCAGTCAAAATGGAATCACATCGAAACCGAACTGCAGACAACTAAAAATAAATCCCTGTTGATGCGGTGGTTGTTGTTGCTGTTGTTGTTGTTGTTGCTGCTGCTGCTGTTGCTGCAGTGACTGCTGCTGTGGTTCTGTAAACAAGTCGGCACTAAAAATATCACATGTCGGTCCCCCCAACTAATTAGTAGCTGTGCATGATACCCCAGTCAGGCCTAGCCGGCTGGGATCTATCTCAATATTTGATTCCACACACACACACACATTTTGTGGGAAACTTTTTGGACACGCCCCATAAAGAGCAAAAAGACAAATGATTTTCTGCATTTGGTTTGATTTCAGATTTTCCCATGAACTATCGAGTGATGCTAATTATGAATTTCGTCATGTCGTTTGTTTGTGTGAAACACAATACAAATTGTGAGGCAAACTAAGGCATTAAATTGAAAATAATAGCAGCTGAAGTTAGTGAGAGAATGTGTAAAGAAATGAATATCATAAAATGGAATCAATTGGAATTAAATACACGTCCTAGCATACTCTGAGGATGGATGAAAATTATAGCAACTAAAGGCTTTTCTTTGTGGTATATTATAGTACTATAAATATACCATATGACTTTGTTAGGAATTGCTAGAGCAATTCGATATTGAATCGTAAGAAAACTGCCAACATTTTTTTTCTGGAGAATAAAGTTTAGATTTTATCTCGAAGTTTTACGTTACAATGGATGAAGCAACATCATAAAATAATTTCACATGCCAAGTACTTGAGCCTTCAATATAATATAAACCATGAGCTGGCATTTAAAACGCCCCTCGTCATACACATAGCTAGTGCTGCCAAAATCAAAATTACAAAAATTGTTTAACTATATGTACTACAAGAATCCTTGGGCTTTATATTGGCTACGGACTGTGAATTCTTTTTTCAATTTTACCAAAAAAATTCATCAAAACGTGCCCCAGAGTCAGGTTGATAATCATGTAAAATCAAAGTTCACCCAATAAGCAACGGACAAAAACAAGAAGGTGCATCTGCATAGTAGATGGAGGGGATAGCCTTTGAAATTTATGGATTTGCATCAGTTTTTGGTTTGCATTGCAAATGTAAACAGTGCTGTAAATGGCAGATAGAGAGAGAGAGAGGGAGGGAAGAGAGACTTAGATAGCGGCAGACATGGCAAGGAGGCAAGTGTAACCAAGGATTACTCATAGACTCTGGCTGCATGTGGACGCATCCCGAATCTGGAGTAAATGTTTGGTTGTAACGCCAGCTGCAACTCAACTGCAAGTTGTTGCGGTTGCGGCCCAACGACAGCCAGCCTCAAAATCCCAACCAAAATTATTAATATGACTTTAGGTGCTGAGTTCAGACGCGTCTCCACCTACTACCACTACTACTACTACTACTACTCCTGCTTTCGGTTCTTAAGGAGGCGCACTAGCTGCTGCTGCTCTGCTGTGGTTGCCAAGGCAGCCGACAATGCAGCCGACAGAACTCAATGCATGTCTGTTGGATGCATTTACAGTGAGCCCCAACCCGCTCTCTCTCTCTCGCTCCTTCTATCTGCCATTCTTTCTCTCCCTCTCTTTCAGTGCCTGTTAGACTTGGGCTTATGCCTTTGCCAGCTACTGGGCAAATTATGCCTAAGCCTTGCCTCCTCGCCCACCTTTATGCCTGGGCTCTTTTAAATAACTGTGTGCCGCCCATGTGTATATGTGTGTGTGTTGCTCGACGAAAAATTATCTTAGCTAGCTGCCATTGCCATGTGCACTTGCTGCCTGTTGTCTGCTAGCTACTAGTTACACTCAGAGAAAAAGAGAGTAAAGTACTCTATTTTGATTTAGCTTTGAGTTCATTTGCCATAATTATATTATAGAACTGAGCCACTCGTTCAGCAGTTAATGAACAATTTATTGATAAAGGCTGAACGGTGGCTATTCACTCGCCTATAATCGAGAGCTGAAGAGCTTACTCAATGCTCAACAACTAAGCAGCTCAGTCTTAGGCATCATCACACACGCACACTTTTCTTGCAGTGCATTTGCACAGCCTTCGTTTTGAGCACTAAATTCTCTGCACATTATTTAGTTGTTAGGGCGGGCGGCATCTTTGTCTGTGCAACGATTTGGTTATCTGGTTGTGGTCTTAGGATTAGGCAACAAAAACACAAACACAAACACAAACACACACACACAACAAACAATATTCACTCACACACACGCCCACACAGCACACACACACCCACTCGTGCAGGTGCATAGAACTAGCTGTGTTTGTCGTTCTTCGGGTCACCTAGGTGAACTGGCATAGTGCTTCTTCTATCTGGGCGAACCTGCTTGCTCTACGCATTGTGCTGCGCATTTCTTTTACTTTTTTAGCCATTTATATTTACTTTTATTTTCTTTTTGGCTGCTCTTCACCCTCAACAAGTTTATCGCAGACACCAACTCCAACTCTAATTTACATAACCACGCAAATTAGTTTTGCGTCTGCTGCTGCAGTTTTTATCAGTGAGTAACAGGAACTGCAACAAAAACAACAACAAGAACAACAGCTAGGAGAACTAGCCCCCAACTTTGTCACGACTGTTAGCCGCCTGCTGCTTCGCCTGCAACCAGCTTTCCATTGCCTTTGATTCTA